TTCGTAAATATTAAACAAGTTTCGACACTCTTTATCTGATAATGATTCAGATTGTGAAATACATACATCATAAATATTTAGAAACTGATATCAGATGGTAAACATACATAATATGATTTTTGTCACAATAGCTTGATGATAAGTGTTGATTAGAATAATGATTCAATATTATTCTTTCTATAAAAATTTAATATTTTTGAGAAATTTTATACATTACTAAAACTACGTAAACAAATACAGAGAGGGACTGAGGGAAACCGTTATCAGTTTTTAAATATTGGAAACATTGGAAACATTGGATATACCTTAAACGTCCAAAAGCCAAACCAAACTACTAATTCTTTTTTGAAAGTCCATTTTCTAATGACCTCAATTGTTCCAAGTATGACTAGAGAAAGTTTAATCTTATCCTTTAAGGAATCGTATCAGAACCGCTCACTCATTACAATGAGTTGGTTCTTTCCCATGATTCGCGATTTTTTTCAATACTTCTGAAACATTGGTATTAAGTTAATAAATATTAATATTACTTATCACATCGCTTCACACATTCGTTCAGTTACTGGCCTAATCGAGCTTTTATAACTTAGTACTCAAAAATCAGGGTAGCAAAGAGTTATATATTTTATAAATTTATGTTTTTCCCATCAACATATCAAACATATAATTGTCGGGAAAAAATTATGTCGGTACGATAATTTTCATTTCGACTCATTACAATTGAAACGTATTACTGTTTAAAGACCTGTGTTTAAACTTTATTTATTTTTAAATTAAATTAAAACCCTCTTAATTCGTGAAATAAGCCCTAGAATTAATGCTTGCGAAAGTAATTAAGAGAGAAAGAAGATTGAGTAGGACGTAGATTAGGGTGAAGCTTTCAAGAGAACGGAACAGATAGTCTAATAGATCCAGGCCTATGAAATATTGCCTGGGCCGATAAGCCAGATTGGACCGAACAAAACAAAGCCCTTACAAACAGCGCCCTTTTATAAATATTTTGTCTTTTTTTTTTTGTTGGTTCTAGGGCGGCCCTTTGCATACAATACATACAACAGGAGCTTTGTATTAGGATACATTGTTTATTCTGCCGTATCAATATATAACTTCCTTCAATACTGTTATAATATTTTGTTCCCTACTAAAGGGAGGCACTGTGACCTTGGAAGTGTTTTACTTTAAGATATAATTATATCTCAAAACAAATGGAACCAGGACAAGCAAAGGCGATGGTGGGAAGATAACATAGAAAGCTTTTGTACCAATTAATAATCAACATCATAGGGCACATTTTTTTTAACTTTCCGTATGATTCCGAATCCATATGAAATATCTTCTGTCTCAATCCTCAACTAACAAGAACCTGATTTATTCCTCTAAATAGATTTTGAACAGAATTAGAAAACAAATAAGTTATTATTATTTTTTAAAATATTTCAGATAAAAATAAATTAATATGAAATTAGAAATATTTTATTATAAATGATTTTAAAATTTCCGTCAGGAAGATCAGTTCTTCCAGTGTTTATAATTAATAGAATTATTCCAAATACCAATGTAAACAAACGATAACATGGCATGTAAAATGAAAATTATTAGTTGAGTGGGGCATACTAGATCACATACCTTGCGTGTCAGTCGCGTGACATAGGAATGCGAAAGAGATTCCTCAATGCGTCACGTAACTGAGACAGTTATGATATTGTGTAATCCATGAATTGGTATATTAAAGTCCTCTTTTATATTGGATATATTAGATTTTATCATATGTGCCACCTATATTATTTTAGGGAAAAAATCTTTAAATAATTAAATGAATGTATAAAAAATAACACATCTATTTATTAAAATTGATGTTGTCGAAAAGGTATACATGAAATAAACATGAATTAGATTGCATGCTCAAGGAAAAAATAAATCTCAAAAGAGAAAAATATCATAATTTTTCGTAACTTATTCTTTCTTCTTTTATTTAACTTGAAGCTAACTATAAATAATTGACTCAGCTTACTTTTAAAGAAAATAAATGCGTTTAATTAAATGAATAAAAATTGTAATATCTTAATCTTTGAAGGATTTTAGCAATTGAAGATTGATATTTTCATCTCCAAGATTGATAACATCTTATTATTGCAGAAAAATGTTTGGTGCCCAACGTTAAAACTACTGTTTCTTGATTAAATCTCTCTCTCAAACTTCTTTAAAAGATAAGTTTTGATAGAAACGATGACTACTTTCAGCTTAACTGAGTGATTAGTATTCCTTATTCAATATAATTAAACAACGAAAAGGAGAATATTTTAATACATAACAATAACCTTTTTGTTTTTAAAATCAAGAATTAGTGCACGCGATCGAAAAAAATATTTTAAAAAAAATGGTATGATTAATGATAATTGGCTGGCTACTATCCGATCTACCGGCGCTATTCCTTGCCATCCTGCATTTGCCGACACCCAACGTCCGAAGATCCTCCTCCATATCCTGCAGCCAACGAAATCTAGGTCTACCTCTGCATCTTCTTACACCAGGATGTCCCTTCATCAACATTTTTGGTAGTCTACCACTTTCCATTCTTTGTACGTGTCACAGTCATCTTATCCTGGCAACAATCTCCTTCTTTTGTAGGGCCAAAGATGTATCTGAGTATTTTTCTTTCCAACATGTTTAACAGCCTTTCATCGTTGCGTGTCAGCGTCCAGGACTTGCTTCCGTACATGACCACTGGTTGAAGAACAGTACGATTCACTCTTATTTTGAGTACTTTGGATATATCCCGGTTTTGAAATATTTTTATTAGATACCAGTAGCATTGCTTGTCAGCTGTTGCCCTAATTTCATCTCTAATCTTATTATTCTGAGTGATAACAGTGCCCAAGTACTTAAACTGCAGTACTCTCTCGAAACTATAAGTAATGTACTGACTGTTCTTCCGATAATCACAATATCATCTGCAAACGCTAGATGTTGTGTCAGTCTATAGTAGATGCATCCTCCAGATCTTTTCCGGATCGTCCTCATGACCGCTTCTAATACCTTATTGAATACAACTGAGAAAAGAGAGAAAAGAGAAAAGAGCTCTGTTTAACACCTTTCTGAGTATCAAATTCTTTTGACAATTCTCCTTGAAATTCTTCTTTTTTTTTTTTTACTTGATACAATGCTACCTTATTTATATGAATATTATTACTTTAATTATATAGCATACTGTTAATTACTTTAGTTACTTTAGATAGACAATGCAGCATCCGTAGAAATTATTTTTCTATAAAGCCTTATATCTTTAAACGATTTTTAAACTTTATTAAATCTTAATCTAAATTTACTGATTGCTTAAAATCAATTAGAATTTGAGCTTCCTTACATTGAATTTTCAAAATATTTTTCCTATAATTCAATTTAATTTAATTATTAATATACACATGGAAGAAAAATTTTCCTGTTCAACAAACATTTGATGATTAGTAAATTTTAATACAATAAAACAGTCCCATATTGAACATTTGCTTTCCTCATACTTAATTAATAGTAGGAGCTTTAACTACCAACTAACGAATTTGCTCATCTCTTATTGACATTACTGTTTGGCCGCTGGCGAATCACCCTGACGTCTAAACGGCCAGTTTCCCATTATTTTCCCTCATCACAATTGACGGAATCGAATCAAACAGTTTACTTTATGGACAATAGTGTTCTGCCCTTAACAGTTGAGAGAACAATGAGCTATGTCGGTGCTAACAATATTTGATAGGGACAATTATAAGTTCATTTCGTCATTGTCGCGGAACAAACGTTTTATTGGCGATTCAAAACAGCATTGTCCAACCTGGCTATTTGTGCGGTAATCGACCATTGCTTTGATGTTTTTTATCTGAGGACTTGTTAATGTGCGGCTTCGATAAACCGCGGAATTTTATTCAAAGTGGTCTGGAATGGGGTTGGTATTATAATTATCTAAGGGTTATTTAAATAAAATTATACACGTCCATTTATAATTGTAAAAAAAAAATGTAACCAACGGATTCTAAACATATTCAAATAATAAGAGCTGATGATATAAGATTATACTGCTCTAACGTGAATTTTAAATATCATTTGAATGTAACTTTTACTTTTAAAAGGCAGAATGATTCTGAAAATTAAAAAAATCATCTACAATAAAGAACGTGATTTTACAGTGTAAAAAAAGGCTACATTATGAGGGAATGTAGTATGTGGATTGAAATGATATAGATATGAGTGTTGCAAATTTTTTGATTATATAAAATATAACCAAGAAATAAAAAAGAACGGTGAGTAACAGAAGATAAAATATAAAATAATATTAATAATTAAAAATATTAATACTATCATTTAATAAAAACCTACGTTCACGAATTATATTAAATAACATATAGGAAGTTTTATTACTATTATTTTTGTGATTATCAAACATATAAAACGTAGGCGATTTCGTGGGTCAAACAATTTTCAAATGTTTGGCTAATATCTAATATGTATGTATATATATATATATATATTTGTTCGCTTTCGATGTCACTCTTAAACGCTTATAACTCTTTAATTGAGCAAACATTGGTATTATTTAGCAGAAAAATGTGGAAGTGCAGTTGATTTTATCCATTAAAAGTCAGTACTTAAGGAATTCTACATCTTTAAGAATGTGGCTTAGGTGGTAAACAAAGTAGCTTTTGTACAATTTTTTTATTTATTTTTTTTTTACATAACACAACATGAAAATGGAATATTTATGATTAACATCTAAAAATTGAGATAGTGCTAATTCACAGCCAACTTGTGCTTGCGGTATCTTTAGTTCCATTGATGCAAAATATCCGCCTGCAGTGGGCACGGGGTAAATGCCGCTGGAGTAAACAGCTCGATAGCCCCAGCGAAGATCCGTCAATCCGCTGAACCACCGAGGACCCATTTATATGCAAATGGAAGCTGCTGCCCACGCTGACCGACTCCTATGAATATTTACTCTTTGTTTTCTAATCTTAGTACCACTCCGCGGGAGGCGATCGCTCGACGCTGAAAGACAACCTTCAAAGAAGCTGAACTCAGCAACGCTAATCCAATTCTCTGCATCAGCACTGGACCTAGCAGATGGAATAACTTATCTATCTCAGTAAGAGCCTTGATATTCTGCAAACATATAGCTCATACTTATGTTTCTCTATTACCATATAAGGAACGCTATTAAGTAAGATGTTCTCAAACAGGCGTTACATTACGTTATCTAAAAATAAAATAAAAAAAAATGCTTGGCGTGCTTTTAGTGATATTTTATATTTTGTTGTATTTTAACTTTGTCATCCTAATCCTCTGTTGTTTTGTTGTTTTCCGGATTTGAATGTACGCTTCTCGTACGTCTGAAAAATAAATGGGGTAGTCTAAAATACATTTTGGGTCTGAAATACAATCACCACGAAGCAGTGAGCTCTTGTTCTCAAAATCGAAACTTGATATAAGGTGTAATAAGAGAGATACATCTATTAAGTATGGTCAATAGTTATATAGATCTCAACATGACAAGAACAAATAGACTGGAATGTTTTAGAGATATTACACTTCAAGCACCTTTAGATATTCAATAAATACTACCTAATTATAGAATAGTATAATAAATATTACCTAAGTACGATTCATCTATCAAGAGACGCCTCTGTTTCCCATTTTTATGCAGAGTTGAAGTGGCTTTATCCTTCCTACCGTCGTAAATATTTTCTGGCATACTACCTCTTTCAAGTCATCCAATTCCACCGTCCTTGATACATCACAGAGTTCCTTCAATTCAAATTCTCTGATCGTTCAGTATCCGATCCTCATCCGTTTGGAATTCCATCCCTTCTCACATTCGTCAATCTAATACCCTTTCCACCTTTAAATCTCGCCTGTTCAATCATTTCTTATACATCCAGTCCGCATGAAATTGTAAATAGATACTAATGTAAATCTGTGCATAAATTATTAGTTTGTTCTTCATTATTTTTACTTATTCCTTTTTTCAATTTTTTATTATTAATTGATTAAAATTAGAAAATAACTTATATTTTTTTAATTTTTTACTATGACTGTTTATTACTCTGTATTTTTATTTATGTATCTCTGAGGCTTCTTAGGCCATATCTTTCTGTATTATTCTAAAGGGACTCGTCCCAGAATATATAAAAAAATATTATTATTATTAATCATCTGAAAGCATTCCACAAGTTCACTTCTCATACTCCACATTCCTGAGGCAAACCTCAAGATGTTAAAAAGTGTAAACTGGTTAACGAAAGTTACTCGATTGTAATTCAACAAGGCTTCTCGGGATAAATGAGACTGGTAAGCCATTCATCCGTTTCATTAGGAGGAAAACCATTTCCAATTTCATAACCCAGAAACTTTATTGTGTTCAAATCTACAGTTAACTGGTAGTTATTAATATTTGACAGTTGACCTGCCTCGTCCAGACAGTTTATTACGTTTAGGTAGCGAAGATTCGTAGCTAAACACTAAGATGTCAACAAGGTCATTTCGCTGGTTCCAATCACTCCATCGAATTACGATGTAAATAATGATGGACCCAACTAACTGGGTAGAATAGCTGTCGCCGTCTTGTTCAGGTATCTTAAACCATTGCAAACACTTGTTTTAGTATCGACAAAGTATCTCCAAAATGTTGAATACATGCGTTAATCCCATTGGCTGTTCCACATTATCGAAAGCGGATAAAATAAATATTCTCAGACATTATCCAAAAGGCTATATTTATAAGCTACATTGGTACTGATTCATCAAAGGCCTTGAAGTTGGACAATTATGATAAATTCCAAACCTACTGAATTATTGTCTCATTCCTCCAATGGCTGTTTAATACGGAGGAGGAATCTTTCTAGTATTGGCAAATAAGGCTTTTCCAAAAGTAACAGTACTGTGTAGCCACACACTACTCTTATCTTCCTTTTACTGCTTTGACATACATGTGTTTGTAAATGTACCAAACCAACAAATTTCATTTCTCCACCGTACTTTCTCCACCAGATACCAAAACTTTCTTATTCTACGAACTGCTTTAGGACCATTTTCATTTTGTTCTACAACTTTGATTGTTCCAAGGTATTTGTTCCAAATGTCTAAATCTTGCTTGAAACCATCATTTAAATTTCGATTTTTCCCGTTTCGTGTACCTGACAGCTAGAGCATTGTCGATAGCTTTTTGCTGATAACACATACAGAAGTGCGCCATAATCCTTTCTAAGCATAAAAAAAACTTCAGCTCTTGGTAAAATTTTTATCTGAAATCATAAACCCTGAAGAAAACAATAGACATCTAAAATAAAAATCTTTTATTTTGGATAAACTAAAAAAAAAAAATAATAATAAGATTAAATGTCAATGAATGAAATCAAATTACAATTTTTACTAAACTCAGCACGGATGAAAATGATGAGTTTATATGGCGAATGATTGCGACAATCGGCTCAGAACCGTTCGGTAATTTTCCTTACAGTTGCTTCTCTTTGTGAAATAAAAGATCCTTTGTAAATGGAAATATAATGGGTTTAAAACTTTTGTTTAAAAGAGTTTCGAAGCTTTGTCCATTCCAGGCTGCGTGATTCGACTCGGTAAAAAGGATAAGATCTCTTAGTACACAAAGCCTTCTCAGGATACCCTGCTAGCATTAAGCTAGTCAATAGGCTTATCGTTTATATTCCTTTTACATTTTCCATTACTGATTGTCCAAACGACTGAAACTGCTATCAAGGCGTCAAATTGGGAAATCTTGCGTTCAGATCTTTAAAAATTCATTATTTTAGAACTTCAAACGAAATTCAGATATAGGCGGTTTGAGATCAGCACTGCCGTAATGTTTAATGAGATGATTCATCAAAAATGTAGGTATGCAATAAGATTTCTCATTTAATGAAAGTATCAAATATGAAATTAAACATTTAAAACCACTTAAGTTGGAAATTTCAAAACTGTATCGGTAGAGGTACAAAAGTGGTCTGTAACATGTCAGACCGGTGACTACTTCCCTCCTATTCCCCGCCCTCTCCCTGGCCATAAAAAAAGCGAGGAAGGAGTAGCATACGTCATCTCTATAGTTCTAAAGTAACTCCTGTCATCATCTGTCATAATAATAAAAAAAAATTATAAGTAGTAATCAAACCAAAGTAGAAATATTCTTCAGACTATAAATTTCAGTTAGCTGGTTACTGGATGACTGCTCAATATAACCTTAGATCAATTTTACAGTGCAATATGAATTGAAAATAGTGCTACTCATAGTTAGAAATATTAATTACTGATTAGTTTTTTTTTTAAATTTTCATTAACTTATCCAGTAGAAATCAGTCAAGGCGGTGGTAAATATTAATAAAAAAAATAATAACAAAACTGTTTAGTGAATGGCGATGTTTCAGCCAACATTGCATTCCATCTTTGAGGCCACAGGAGAAGCGCTGTAAGGACCAATACCTGGCGAGGATGACTAATGAATGGATTCCTTAGTCATCGTTTCTAGGTGCTGATCGTTAAAGCACTACTCCCGTAGCCCCAAAGATGGACTGTAATGTAGGCCGAAACTTCGGCATTCAATAAGGAGTTTTGATATTATTTTTACTATGAATGTTGACCACCACTCTGGCCATGTTCTCCGAAATAATTGGGATCCTTTATAGTGGTCAAGTAGCAGCTTAATTTTTTTTACGTTTACAGTTTTTCTTAGATGGGTATATATATATATATATATATATATATATATATGATGGATATTAGATGACAATGGAGCGGGAAAGAAAAGAACGTTCGAGGGATTTAGTGTTATAGGAAGGGGTATAAAGGTCAGAAACACGGTATCTTGTTTTCTGTGAGTGAACTACGGCTTGTATGTAAGATCCAAGGGAATATTTCAGGTGAAAGGGAGAAAAAGCGACCTTGATTCGCTATAAAAGTGGTACACATAAGACCTTCTCGAGGTAATGAAGACAAATCTTGATAAGCAATTCATATTTTTGGTGGAACCTAAGAGATTTTGAGATATTCAGGAATTAGTAAGGGAAATTCAACTCAATTGTCAACTACCGAAGGGCATTTTTGAGAAAGATTTTTCAAAACTACGCCATTTTTTTCCTCATTGCCGTACATGAGCATTTATCGCCTAGACGGATTAATACACGAAAACCGAGAAAAGTATTAGATGTATATTTGTTGGTTCAAGGTTTACGATCGTTACAAGGGCATTAAATATTTATATTTTTTATTATTAACTTTTATTCTTATATCGTACGACTCATGTAAAATGTATATATGTTTGTGTGTAAATAGTGATTGAGAGGTTCTTTACCTATTTTATAAACTACATTACCATTTGCTATCCTAAACAGTGAGAGGGTTCTGGAATAAAAACTAACGACCTCTCACTACGACACTGCATTATCCTACAGAACTCCTTAAGAGATTTCCTCTGGAGAATATAAAAATCAACGCAGCCATGAAGAACATTAGTTCAAAGAGATGGCCGCTCGGCTGGTGACTAGCGAACAGAAGAGAGTTCTCTGAACGTTGCTCCAGTTACCTGAACTCATCTGAATGACAATGGTCCTGGAAAATGTCCTCAAGACCGTTTTTTTCTGTCTATTTTCTTCGTCGAAGAACAAAACCACCACAAGAGTCTACTCAAGTCTTAATCGTGTTTATCCTTCACTACATACCAAAACTGAACGAGGCCCTGTCTATTAGCCTGAAATTGGTCAAACTTTGAAGACATTTTACGTATATTTTTCAACAATACATATATTCTTTTAATATTTAGAAATGTTTACTAAACCTAGTTCGTTAATTAAACAAAAATTTTCTGAGTTATAAATATAAAGTATTCATAAATCAGACACTATAACCAAAAGAATTACAATTTGTATTTATGACATATTAATAATTATATTAAAAGCGTTTTAATTGTTTATTATGATTTATCTATTTTTCAAAAACTTGTGTCCTAGGTACTTTACTGATTTCGCACCAAACAGACAATTTTCTATTTTCAGTTTGAAACCTTCAGTGATCATAACTTCAAAAGCCTTGCTAATATGCTGAAGATGGTCTTCCCAATTCCGAGAAAAAATTAAAATATCATCAATGTAGTTTATGCAGAAATTTTCCAGGTTATTTCTTCTTATAATGTTGGATAGTATTCTCTGGAATATAGCGGAAGCATTTTTAATACGAAACGGAAGAACTTTAAACATAAATTTCCATATTTCGTAATAAAAGAGGTCTTTTCCCGATCCCGCTCACGAAGCGATATGCACCAAAATGCAGAATTGATGTCCAAAACGGTGAAGAATCTTTTGTAAATAGTCGGAAGTTTATAGCGTTTGTCTAGTAATTGTTGCAATAATCGGAAACCTGTTTACTGGTTTCTAGTTGTTTCGGTCTGATATGGAGGTTATTTATTTTAATTTCTTTTCTTCTTCCACATTTTTTAAAAAAATTTATTCGTGGTTGATTCCAGAGTAAAGACAACGGATATACAAGTTAAAATACAAAGACGTCCTTTGAATACCATTCTCGTTGACATAGCAGCACATACAAAATAAAATATATAATAATGACTAATGCGTTTTGAGAAGCATGCGGCAAAAATTCTCAAGATATCAACCGTATTTCACTAAATTTCATTCCTTTCATGAACTGGATTATTTCCAGAGAGACTTTGGGATTGGCAATATCCCCAAAATATTGATGTCCAAAACGGTGAAGAATCTTTTGTAAATAGTCGGAAGTTTATAGCGTTTGTCTAGTAATTGTTGCAGTAATCGGAAACCTGTTTACTGGTTTCTAGTTGTTTCGGTCAGATATGGAGGTTATTTATTTTAATTTTTTTTTTCTTCCACAATTTTTTAAATATCTTATTCTTGGTTGATTCGTCGAAGAACAAAACCACCACAAGAGTCTACTGGAGTTTTAATCGTGTTTATCCTTCACTACATACCAAAACTGAACGAGGCCCTGTCTATTAGCCTGAAATTGGTCAAACTTTGAAGACATTTTACGTATATTTTTCAACAATACATATATTCTTTTAATATTTAGAAATGTTTACTAAAACTAGTTCGTTAATTAAACAACAATTTTCTTAGTTATAAATATAAAGTATAAAGTATTCATAAATCAGACACTATAACCAAAAGAATTATAATTTGTATTTATGACATATTAATAATTATATTAAAAGCGTTTTAATTGTTTATTATGATCATCTAATTTTTTTTTTTGAAAATATTTTTTTTTTACGGTTTTATTCATTTTATGGATTATTTTTGTAATTATTCATTATACTGCTGATGCTGACTGATTTAATTAATTACACCGAAGTATATGTAGATGAAAACACAAATCCGTCTAGTTAAAATAAAAATTGAATAAAATAAATAAACATCACTTAATCAGGCAATTATAACAATAAAGCGTTCGGTTATAACAAAAAAATGATGGATTTTAACAGTCAAAATTTAATTCACTCTGGGATAGAAGTATCTATAATTGAGATCTATCTATAATAATTGGATGGATTATAGTATCCATAATAATTAGAGATCTGAAATATGGTGCCTTATAAATAAGAATTCAGTATTTGTCCACTTATCAATACAGATCATTCTACTATCTAATTCCACTAAAAACCAAGCACTAAAGTCCATTAGCTTAAATTATAGTAAATATATAAACATATTGTAAATTAGTATAATTGGGCATATCCATTATTCAAGTTGTGCTAAAATGACATTCTGCTCGTTTCTGTTGTTCGAAAATTTAAGAATCATGTTTAATTATGAACTACACACACACACACACACACACACACACACACATGTATATATACACACACACTTATAATTTTACTAATGTTAATATATATTATAATAATTTATTCTTATATTATTTGATGTCCAATAATTTACTTATGAGTTTTATGTCATTTTATACATAAAATATGAAGATTAAAAAGCGAGACATTAATATGAAAGCTAATTTCACGTATTGTTTTTTAAATAAATATTTAATGAGCCAAAAGACATGACCAAATTGACTTTTATTAAATTAATAAATCAGACCTAAGCCAAAATAAAATGCGATTGTAGAACTCGAGGGCATAATAAATAATAATGATGGATACATAATAATTAACTGTAATGTGGCTAATAACTTAATAAAACATAACTGATTACAATTTTCTTATTTATTTATTTAGGAATATAATGATCTGCCACGTGGACAATTATTATAGTGAGATATGAACACATTCACACCATATATACACAAAACATAAAATTAACAAAAGTAAAATAATAATAAAAAAACTACCTATATACCTATATATAGTGATATATATATTGATACCTATATACAATATATACAATCAGGCAGGGAATCCCAAGCCAACTATGCAGAGAAAAGGAGGACTAAAAAAGATCCCTGCGCTACTCTCTCAACCGCGTCACTGGTGCTAAAGCCAGTGGAGATATAGCCACATACACTCATGGCCATTGCCAGAACTCCAAGATATATATTGCAAAAAATCTCTGGGCCGAACTGAATCACCTGAACTGCACGAATAATTTTTTAATAAGATTTCTTCATGTTTTTTTTTTCATAAAATTAATATGTAGCTTCATCATAATATTTTAGATTAGACTTTGTAAGGAGATACTTTGCTTGCAAAATGAACCATCCTTTCAGAAGAGCCTTTAGCCTTTCAGGTAATAATAATTCTACTCTGATTACCTGGCTTGATACCTGATGGGATCATACCTGTTGGCGGGTTGGACCCCTTAGCACGCCTTGAAAATGGATACCGTTCTGCCTGAGCCACTTTATTGCAGTAGGTCAAATAAATTTTACATCAGAAAAAAATTAAATAAAATATTTTAGACGAAATTTTAGTTGAATAAAAATAAATATAACGTGGTTACTATGTGTTGAGATAAAGTATTTTTATAAAAACAAAACTGATAAAAATAAAAAAAACTAACGGAAGCCATAGTTTAAGGTTAAGATACTGTGGATGTTGACCACCTATCTGACCATTTTCTGCGAAATAATTTCAAAACTTTTTAAAGATTATACTCATAGTTAATTTTTTTCATTAGAAGTTTTTTATATGAATTATAAGTTTTAGAGATGTACAGGCATAGATGAGAAAAATAAAATGTTTACGCACAACGGTTGTAGTTGGTCAAGACACTTCTCTCTCCATCTTGCAATTTTTTTATATACTTCAAAACTTGTTAAAGGAACACAGTTTCTGCAAGATTCATGTCAACTTATGCCAGTAGACCTAGCTGGCCAGCAATCAATTACCATTTGTACAGTTATTTTATAAATGGAGTAGAAACTCTTGCGGCCCAGGGGCATGAGCATTGAAAGATAGAATACTTGGAAAGGAGAAAAAACCTAATGTGTGCTTTAGACCACACGATAGAAATGAAAACATAACATCAACGATATCAACGATGAAAACGAAGGCGATATTGATAATATAAAATATATATTATATAAATAATAGCCTATTACAGAGAGGATGAAATGTTGAACGATTTCCTTACTTAGAGATCAGATTTTTAGTTTCAGAGATATTTAAATGCACCACCGCCTAATCCACCTCAACTTCAATAATTTATGATATGCAAATCAAATTTATTACCATACTAACTAATGTTGTAATAATTATGGGTCTTAATAACCCACATTATAATAAAACTCAAAATATAGCAATCATATTTTTCTTATAGTCATCAAATCATTTGATTATACAGTCCGTTTACTTAACCTCATAGTTTACTTAAATCCTTACCCATAATCGAATCCTTTAGCAGTATATAGCAGTCAAATAAGAATCAGTTCCCAATTGCTGAATTATTAAGTCAATATCCCTGACAGCCATGGAAGGGATTGGCTTAATAAATTAAACGAAACTCTTTTTTTTCTAATCAGCATAAATTGAGGAACATAATCATTCGTTTTTAGCTATCCGATTCTTAGATTTTGGCCTTGAGGAATTAGGAAATATTGTACAATAAATTTTACAACGTAATGATAAGCAAAGAAGTCATCATAAAGTACTCACCGACTACGTTGAGATGAATGAAGTGGGACATGTGCGGCGTAGTGCTGATCTGACACTCGTATATACCGGAGTCCCTGTGCTGAGGATATTTGATCTGGAGGCTCCAGTCTTCGGTACTCTGGTGATGTATGGCTCTGAACCTCTGGTCTGAGGTGTAGGTGTACCTTCCGACCGTTAGCAGGTGGATATCCCGGTGCCTTACCCACGAGACCTGTAAAAGAAAAATTACATCAAAAACTCGAAGGACATAGCTAGTTTACGTTACATGACATTACTAGTTTTTAATGTAACGGAAACAATATCAAAAGGACATAATATATATAAATCTATAGCATTATTATAGAGGCAGGCGTTGATAAGTATTTTGTATTAGATCTACTTGGTATACGTCTATCCATCGGAATTCGCGAGCAGTTGGATATCAGTCCTTACTTATATAAAAAAAAGAGATGAGAAGTTAGCAGCTATGTGGAATATAGTTAATTTATATTGGTTAGTAATAAACATTACAGTAAATGACTGGCAATCAGGATACTATTTGAAAGCACGAGATATGAAACATGATATTGATACGTTCTGCAATGTATTTTCCTTTGTCAAAGGAGAAATTTATTTTATTAATGTGTTCCGCATCGGGTCATTAGTGGCGAATCATACAACGGTAAAATTAAATAAATATCTTTTATGGAGACAGCCACGTTTTGGATTTTTCCGTAATTTAAAAATGCTTAGGTAGGAGGTATATTGTGTTTTGTTGTGGTGTCAGAATAAATTTGCTAGTTGTTACAATATATTTCAGTGTAAGTGATGTTTTGGATGTTTCACAAAGTGGTAATTTCAGGCCTCTCATTAGGCTACCGTACGTGGAAGGCTGCATGTCCAATTCTCAGTCCATTCAAGATTATTTCTTCTGCTCTGCACTTTCTGAAAGAGGCTGTTTGCTGATTCGTTCCACTTAATTTCCCATTGTTCACTAAGTGTTGTTTTTTCTCACGTACATCCAGTCAGCAGTGGAGGTTAGATCAATATTGAAATATAAATGAATTACATTTAATATAGATCATACGAAATATTTTAAATTGCTTATAATAAAAATATACCCATCATGATATCCATAACTGACGATTTTCATTTTGTACTTCGATTAGGTTCCATCAGATTTAAATCGCCGATTCTCTAATAAATAAATAAATTTAAATATTTCTGGTTTTAAAAATTTCATAAAAAATATGACCTCATGAAGATTTGATGTGAAATAGCTGAATGACCATTTGTTATAATGTATAGCTGTAACTTCATTATAGGCAATACCATAACTCAGAAGGTTTAAAAGAAGTAAATAAAAGCTGGGAGACTGAGCTGTAGCAGATTTTAAAAAATTACTGGACCTATCACTTAGGGGCTATAAAACCTTTAGCCGGCCATTACTAAATATTTAGGAAGCCCTTTTACGATCCGAACATTATTCGCAGTGACGTAAAATCCAGCCATTTCATTGGCTATTTCAACTTTAGCCAAGTCCAATTAGAGCTGATAATGGCGTTCCGTTCCATCCCGGTATTAAATATTGAGAATAAAACAGTTCTGAAATATACTTTTAATAGTTCAGAAGATAAAAATAATAGTTTTAATTATTTTGTTACGTATCGTTTAGTAGAAATATTTTTCATAAAATGTCCCAACTGCATTATTATGGATATTACATCGTTAGATAAGAGATACCGTTTATCTAGAGATCTCATTGGAATCGTATACTTCTAATGAAGCACATTAAGTAGTTAAGATTATATCCAGTAATATTCTCAAGATTAATTATTATTTGTATTTAATACTGAAAGAAAAGTCTTGACATTCACACAGAATATTTAAACTTTCCTTTATCTATTTTTCGAAAACTTGTGTCCTAGGTACTTTACTGATTTCGCACCAAACAGACATTTTTCTATTTTCAGTTTGAGACCTTCAGTGATCATAACTTCAAAAGCCTTGCTAATATGCTGAAGATGGTCTTCCCAATTCCGAGGAAAAATTAAAATATCATCAATGTAGTTTATGCAGAAATTGTCCTGGTTATTTCTTCATATATTGTTGGATAGTATTCTCTGGAATATAGCGGACGCATTTTTAATACCAAACGGAAGAACTTTAAACATAAATTTCCATATTTCGTAATAAAAGAGGTCTTTTCCCGACCCCGCTCACGAAGCGATATGCACCAAAATGCAGAATTGATGTCCAAAACGGTGAAGAATCTTTTGTAAATAGTCGGAAGTTTATAGCGTTTGTCTAGTAATTGTTGCAATAATCGGAAACCTGTTTACTGGTTTCTAGTTGTTTCGGTCTGATATGGAGGTTATTTATTTTAATTTCTTTTCTTCGTCCACATTTTTTTAAAAATTTTATTCGTGGTTGATTCCAGAGTAAAGACAACGGATATACAAGTTAAAATACAAAGAAGTGCTTTGAATACCATTCTCGTTGACATGGCAGCCAGCACATACAAAATAAAATATATAATAATGAGTAATGCGTTTTGAGAAGCATGCGGCAAAAATTCTCAAGATATCAACCGTATTTCACTAAATTTCATTCCTTTCATGAATTGGATTATTTCCAGAGAGACTTTGGGATTGGCAATATCCCGCCTCACAGCCGTGTCCTCCAGAAAAATTTCAATATCCGCCTTTTATGCCTCTCTAAAGGGGGCCATCTCACGCCCTGAAAACTTATGGAGTCGAATAAAGTTCCTTGCAGAGGCCCTGCTCACCGAGTTTCAGAAATAAACATGTCTTCCTCCGCCCTTGGGCCATCAAATGAGGTTAGGAGCGCTGAGAAACGTGTTCTGAATCTGTCGCACCGGCCGTAAAGGTTTTCAGAAACATCGTCTTGTCCTCACAAACACATCTATCTTGGCATTTGTATAGCTGTTTTCCTCCTCGGTACTGAAGGAGAATTTTTCTTTGATGTTTTAACGTATTAAAAAGGATATAATCGAATTGTTATTAATGTTATTTATATTCATTTGCATTAATTGAGCGCCAATTATATAAGATTTATTAATCCACAGATCGAATAATACTTTTTAATGTTCGATAATTTTTAAAGCTTAGGATAGAAGGCTTAAATCTATTAGTATTGCTAATGTATTACTGAAAATACTTGGGCAATATTTCTAATGAAATATTTTAAAATACAGAATAAAATATGTTTTTTCGTACTTTACATTTTCAGAAATAAATTATAAAACGCAGCTTTTCAAAATAAAAAATACAGAATAAGTATTCGTATTTTTTTTTTCAAGATACTAGTTTCAAAAAATTTTCTATATGTGCTTGTTTTAGGTGAAAATTTTCTAATATTATAAAATAATGCTGTATTTTTTTCTTCACCATATTTATTTCAATTTCCATAGCTACGTTTCGACCGGTAAGCCATCTTTATTAAATTTATGTCTGTTGATCTTATCTTGATATTTCTGGATTTGAATAAAAGAGCAACCTCATTCTATATAGTGGTACTGTCAATTTACAAATTAACAGGTAGTGTTAATTACAAATTAAAAAAAAATGGACTTAACCTAATTAGAGTAATAATTCATACAATACTAAATTAAATATGACCAATACCATCTTCATAGCCGAACCGTAGCTATGTAAATTTAAACAAATGTGGTGAAGAAAAAAAATACAGCCTTATTTTATAGTATTTTATTTTGTATTATTCAAAATCGAAATAGATTATCAATTCGAGTCGGTTCCTTTTGACGTTTGACAACAAAACTGATCGTTTGCACGAAAATTCTTCCCCATAAAATCGAGCTTAAACGTTTACGACGGTGGATTATGTTTTTTAATATTATAATTATGATTTTGAATACAATTATCATATGACTTTACGATTGATTAGCCTTCAAATATCCGCAGGACACCAGGTCTTATCATAGAAAATGGTATAAGGGCATATTTTGTAAAATGGACATGAAAAGGCACATGCCTGCAAAAATATGCTTTTTTTTCTTTAATGATATTTTCAAGTACTTTTTTTTTTTTGCAAAAGAAAAGGAACAATTCAATTTATGCAGAACCTCAGAGAATATTGAAAACCAAATAATTTGACAAAACTCACTTTTATAGTAAATTGTTTAGAAAAAATAATTGTTCCTAATTATTTTTCTAAAGTACATCCGCTGTCTTATGATCTCATAACTCTTTTTCTCGCTAAAATAGACCTATTTTTAAATGAATTGGTTCTAAACCGACAGTTAATGAGTATTTCGTAATTGCATTTTTTAAAATTATAATTCAAGTAACTTTTAAAATTTTTTATTTGAAATACTTTTTCTGAAAAGAATGTATGATTTGTAATTAAAATACATTGTATTTTAAAATGAAAAACATTTAGTATTTTAAATGCTATATTTTATAATAATAATCAAAATATAACAGAGCTTCGATACCATCTTTATGATCAATCCTATTACACTAGAGTAATAGTTATAGATCATCTAACTATATCTATACACAAATCATCCAAGAAAGCATGAACTATCCCCATTCCCATTCCTAGACTAAATAATATGAAGCTGGGCTATTCCTCACAATAAATTAAATATAAATGTTCTCATTTTTCCATTTAATTATTTAAGGATTCATTCATTTCGTATATTAAAACTAGTTAGCATAGTAAATGAAAATTAAAATAAAAAAGTTCCAATTTAATTTTAATGAATTATCAATTCAAGTTTTGAATATAAACGTAATATATATATTTTTATTTTATTTTATTCATTACGATTGTCTCCTGCCTCTCTCGGCAATACTTTGGGAAGAAGTTGGTGACAAATGAACCGTTTCTTCTCAGAATTCTTCGTTCTTCCTATCTGCTAGTTTCTATTCGTTTTCATTAAAGGAGACTGGAATGATTCAATAATTCATTCCAAGCGTGCAAGAAACTTTTTTGTTGGGGATTAGTCGAGATAGAAACACTGTATTTTAATAGAGATTTATACGAATGAGTGCCTGTCGATGGGGGTGGGAGGAGGGGGGAGAGAGCTGTAGTACCATTTTAGCTATGAAGGGTTGAAATGTTTGTTTGTTTATTTAGGCTTTAAGGCGTAAAACCCCAAGATCATCAACGCCTGTGAGTTAGTTATGTTTTTAAACTCTTTAGAGGAGAAATAGAAAAAAAAAAATTAACAATCAAAAATTAATAATAGATATAGTGGTATATGAAAAAGATATTTAAAAACATATAAAAAATAAAATATATTAAAATAATGACGGTTTGATGTGATGGCTCCACTGATTTTTTAACTTGCTAGGCGGGCTTTCGTTCCATATAGACTGCCAACTATCCAATATTTCTTTTTTGAGAGGAAAACTCATTTCTGGAGGGGTCAGGATTGGAGTACTTCGGTCTGGAAGCGCGAGTGCTTGTTTGGCTGCCGTATCCGCAAGCTCATCACCAACTATACCCACGTGACTGGGAACCCTAGGGTTGAAATGTCTTCCGTGAAATCCTGATTCATAAGTATATTTATTTCGTAACAGAAGTTTTCCAACATTCTGGATACAGTTATAAGGGATACCTATGCGACATATTAGATAATACAACATTTATTGACGAATTTAAAGGTTAAAGCCCCCACCTTCCAACCGTGACCAATCGGTGATTCAGCAATAACAACTTGGGAGCCATCCTCCCCGACCTGTTTCATTACTGGCTAGGAAATCCAGCTTTTTTGCCCGGTAATAAAAGGGACGGTAGGAAGCTGTATCGAAAGTGCTTAGGCACACCTGGCTCTAATATCGTTCTGGTCGTTAACATGCAGGACAGGGCAGATAGAAATGCTGTCTAGCTACACTGTTTCTAATTACCCTTTTATGTTTATATTGCTATGGCTCTGGCTGGTGTTGTTGATATTCCAATTGTATTTGTTGAATATTTATTTATTTTTTATTTTTGGAGAACTCTTTAATTATGGTCATGCTCGTCCTGATTCTATGTTAGCCCAGTTTCAACTTCGGACATGTATTACTTTTTCAATCCATGCTTTGAGCTAAACTAGACCTATGCTATTGCTTTTGAAATAGAGAAAATGTTAAATATATTTCGTAAAATTAAATTAAAATAAAAACTCAATGAAACGCAAGTCATGAGAAAATTAAATTTATCCATGTAATCCACCGCTATGGCGGTGAAAGTACAAAATAATCACTGGTAGAATAATAAATCATTTATGTAAGAAAAGATGATTTATTATTAAAAAATAGTTTATGTAAATAAAAATAATTGATAAAAAACATTGTGAAGAACTGAATTATTCGGCTTTAATGGCTTTAAGCCGTTTCGATGCACGTCACAATTATTGGGTCCATGGAAGCAATTTACGGGCTCGATATATGATTTATGTCATTCCATTTTTTTTTGTGATTTTTTAGCCTATACGGGTTTTTCCCAGGCCAAGGAATGAGTGCGGGAGATTAATGCCAGAATAAAAAGCCTTTCGTTCCCCCGCCCGCCTATATCTCTTCTAATAAGAAAATAAGATGGTTATTTGTAGATCAATAGATTCGGTGATTAGTAGATTACAGCTTAGTAAAGTTGATCAGGCTTAGGATAAATCATGATAGAAGTAATAAATATCTACATCTAATGGGTATAGCTAAGAGTGGTCACTGTCCAACATGCCAATGCTTGGAGGGCCCAAGACACATTGCCTTCAAGTGCAAAAGATTCGAGAAGCGAAGAAGAATTACTTTTGGATCGCAAAGTACGGATGAAGGAGATAACTTTCTACGGTCTATGAATAAAGATAACGCCCGTGACTTGATTATGTTTTCGAACGTCATAAAAGCAGTTATATTCTAAAATTCGCCACTTATTCTCATTTAATTATTATGAAACTACTGTAATCTCAGTTTTTAACTATTAGTCCTTTTAGCTTAAGTTCTTTCTAAATTAGTTACATTCAGCGATCATCTATCAAGAAATATTCAATAAATATCCAGTGTAATTTCATCTTACAATGAAAATTAAAATATTTTATTGGCAAAATGGACTTGCTGTTACAAATCTTAAAGGTAAAGGAAAAAAAAAAAAAAAAAGGATTGCTTGAAACGCTTCGTCGTACTCCTTCCTCTGTCATCTGAACTAAGTCTGCGATCTATTATGAATCTGTGTATCATTTAATGCATTGAATGGATTATTTCCATCTATTTATTTAGCCTTTCCAAATCGTATTTTTCGCTGCAACTATAACTAGTAGCCATGAAAACATTTACCAGTGGGATATATGAGAAATAGCATTTGGGGTAATCATACCAAATCTGTACACAAAACTTTCTTAGAATCGTTAAGATAGTCTTCATTCTGTTGCCAAGTTATTTGCAGAGTCGCTGAAGGCATTGTTAAATTTAAATTAAAAATAAAAACTGTCATTCGGAATTATCATTCAAACGAATCAGGATGGAA